TTTGCCAAGTCCCCTGATGTTGGGCTTCTAGCCTCCAGTTTCTGCTGTCTGAATCCATAATGCCGGGGACTGTTTGTTACAGCAGCCACAGGGCACTCATATTCACTGGTACTAAAATCCATCCTAGTCTCCCTTAGTCTCTTGTTCCTCCTGGCTCTCGTTGTTTGTTTTGGTTTTAACTCACTGTATAGTTGAGGATGATCTTGAGTGCTTTTTAGATTTTTTATTACGTGTATGTATGCATATATGTATGTATGCATATATGTATGTATGTATGCATGCATGTATGTATGTATGCATGTATGGGCATAAATATGCCACGGTTTGTGTGCAGAGGTCAGAGGGAAAACTTATGGGCGTCAGTTCTCTCTTCTATTGTGCGTGTCCCAGCCATCAATTGGCAGTAAATGTCTTTACCTACAAAGCCATCTCTCTGACCTTGTTTTTTGTTTGTTTGTTTGTTTGTTTGCTTGCTTGAACCACTTGAGCTCCTCACACAGCACACGAAAAAGAGACCCTAAGAGACCCATCCACTTGGACGACTTTGAGAGGTGATACTGATGCTACCCACCCAGTTCTCTCTAGCCCAACGCCCTCCCTGCTCCATGCGGCAGTAATGTGACCTCCCTCATTCCTTTTCGGCCATCTATACTGGTTTTCCTCAGCCCATGATGCAGACTCTCACATCTCTTTTTACACAGGACCCTCCCACAGATGACAGCAACCCCAGGCAGTCACTCCGGCCAATGCTGGTGTACCTGCACTTCTCCTGTCCCTCCAAGTACACCCACGGTGCTACCTCTGGTTCCTCTGGGTACGCCTTTTCTCACTGTTCCATACACCATGGGCTCCGAGAAGCCAGCCCAGGCCTGTGTAGAGCATTTTTCTCACTACTATAGTCCCTGCACACTGTGGAGTGAACAGTGTTGCTATGGAGGCAGGTGGGTAAGGGGGGGGGTCATTATTGTCATGAATTAGAAAGGAGAGGGGATGAAGGAAGCTACAAGACAAAAAGAAAGAGAGGTTGCTAAATATGGAGTCATCAAGGTTCACATCTGCCCCTTAAAACAAGGTGACCTGTGGTGCTTTGAACTTGAGATAAATAACTGCCATAAACTTCTTCAGTGTGAGGACTCTTGAGGACCCAGCCTTGTCCCCAGAATACTCACAAATACTTCCTGCACAGGTCTGGGGGGGGGTCACTAAAAAGTGGTCTTCAATATTTGTTGGATGGATGAATGGGTAGGAGGATGGATGATGGATGGATGGATAGATGGATGGATGGATGGATGGATGGATGGATGGATGGATGGATGGGTGGGTGGGTGGGTGGATGGGTGGATGGGTGGATTGGATGGACAGATGAATAACAGTAAGTTAAGTAGGTGATAAATGAATGAATTACAAATGTTGTAGTGATGTGTATTTCCATAATAATATATCTTTAAATATATAGCTCAGTCCCTTTTCTTGAACTTTTTAAGAGTGGAACTTACGTAAGCAGATTTCCAGCTCTTAAAAACTTAAGCATGTCAGTTGTTTTTGTTTTAGAAACATGTTCTTACTGTGTAGGCTTGCCTGAAACTTAATGATCCTCCTGTCTCAGCCTCAGGAGATTACAAGCATACACCACACCTAACCATATGTAAGTATTTTTTAATAAAATCCTATTCCATTACACCATTAATTCAAATGAAAGAAAGCTTCCTGTCTCTCCCGTCCCCAGCCTTCCCATTTTTCCATGAACATGAGCAATAAAGCCAGCTCGCCTCTTTCTTTCTCTCTCCCCAACCCGAAATGCAGACTCCTTCACTATCTCTCCTCCTAAGTTTTCCACGCCCCAAAAGTGACCCCTTTTTATGGCACAATCACTATAAACTGAGGTTCTCTTCCTACCATCCAAGGCTGCAGGAGCTCAACCTTCTCTTAGCAGAAGCTGCTCCCACTACCCAGAGACCTGGTCTAAAACAGAAGGGAGGCTCTTGACATAGAAGTAGACAATCCAGGACAAGACCTCCCCGCACCACCAGGACAACCCATGCACCCAACCGGCAGCAGGCAGCACACATGGCATCACGGCCCAGGCATAAGCACAACACAGCATTGTGGGTATCAGTGTCTGCTTTTCACAGGCTTGTGGCAGGGAACAAAATGCAGTGACTAGCGCAAGGGCCTAACATGGCGGCTTTCCAGCCGTTGTATTTAAAGCCCGCCTTAGTCTCTGGCTGTCTCCAGTCAGCCCACAGATACTTTTTTTTCTTCTCAACTAAGTGTCCTTATACCTGCCTCCCTTGAGGCTCAGGGCCATGTAATCACACATCTGCAGGTAGCAACAGCCAAGTTTCTAACTGGTACTCCAGCGTAAACACAAGACATGAGCTTTCTGAACACGTAAAGCCATTCTCCAGAGAAGTTTGGGGCCACAACCAAGGTCCATGGCAAATTTTGCATTTTGTATCATGACCCCCTAGGTCCCAGGAAGACAGAAACACAAGACAGAACATTTTATCTGTGTTTACATTTCCAAAGAGCCATGTGAGGGTAGGTTTGCAGTATTTACTCATAAAACTGGCACACATATAAAGTCCAAGGTCACTGGGCTGATTATCCAAGGTCATTTAGCTCCTGAAAATATGTGTTCTATTATATTCAAGGGTTCCTACTGGGGAAAAACAGTAACACAATAAAGTAGATATTTAATATTTGATACTAACTCCATGCTTCATTTGATCCCAGACAAATTAGACAATTTAGAGTATGCATTCACTGACTGTTCTCTCCAGCGTAGCCTATACTTGACTTCAAGTAAGTTGGAACCTGTAGACATGAGTACGGAGATGGCCCTGTGGGTAAAGTGTCTGCCTTGTAAAGGTGAGGGCCTGAGTTCTAATCCCCAGCACCCATGTAAATGCTAGGCAGGCATGTCAGCCACCTGCAATCCCACCAATGTGGACTCACGGACAGGGGATTCCCTACATGTGTTGGGTAGAGAGGCTAGGTAGAATCAGTGCTCAGTTCAGTGGGAGATCATGCCTCAGTGAGTAAAATGGAGAATAATCGAAGAAGACCCGTCTGGTGTCAACTTCCAGTCTCTACATACAAGGGCACATACTTTCTCATCTACACACAAACACACACACACACACACACACACACTCATCTGCTAACATGCAAACTATGTGCTACACACATAAAAATAAGTTGTTAGAAAGAACTTACAGGCAGCCCCACAAGTTGAGAGGGAAGTAGGAAAACATGGAACAGCACTGGGTTGTCCTTGGGTTTATGTCATGGCTGTCCCCTGGAAATCCCTTTTTACACAACTTGATACCATCCCACCAACATCATTCTTCCCAGCTGAGGACCAGGGCTGAGTTACCTCGAACGGACCCAGTTGCACTCACAGCTGCATGAAGGTTGCCCACATCCTGACCGGCTTCGGCACTCTGAGGCAGGCTGTGACTCCAGAGTCCACACACAGAACCCACCCTGAGTTACATGACATTGCCCTTATGAGCAATCGGGGTTCTAGCCATCTGGAAAGGAGATGTAACCCAATATGCAGCCTCTTGTTTAAGGACAAGTTCAAAAGCACCCAGGGAAAGGCAGCTCCCTTCAACACAGCTGCTCATAATGAAGAAGTCAGTAAGGAGGGGAGGGAGGGAGCACCATTGTTATCCAGGAGTCCAAAACCACTCTGTACCTTGCTTAATAAAACCTTGTTGTTACAGAGTAAAAACAGAGACGTCTATTCTTATCAGACCAAGTGACAAGGATAGAGCACTCCTCCCCAGCCATGCTGGAGTGGCATCACAGTCCTGGAGACAGGTTTTTAACCTAGTGCCTGCCTTTCTTACCAGCTTCATCTGTGAGTTCTAGCATATTCCACATCCTCAAAGGAATGGCTCCCTGGTGGGGGTGGTATCCACTCCTCATTAGCAGACCTGAGCCCCTTTTGACAGTACTTGAAAAGACAGTGGAGTAGATAAACCTAATCCCTTCCTCTCCAAACCATCCCCATGCAAAAGCCCAGCAAGCAATCTGCCAAACTCTACAAGATCCAACGCAATTAGATTCCCAGGTACCTGAAAAGCCAGAAACCAAAATCAACATATCATTAAAAGATTGTGCTTGTCAACTGGCTAGGAAGTTTCAAAGAGAAACGTCGCCTGAAATATATACGCAGAAAAAAAATTTGTTTGCAGGGTTTCTCCAGCTCGCAGGAGGCTGCAAAGAATCTTGACTTTCCTGTAGAAAAAAAAGGAGTGAAGGGAGGAAACTGCCCACAAATAAAGCCACCTGATCAGCCAGAACAGTGCTGCGGAGTCCGTCTACGGTGTCCTGCTGATATCAATTGCTCTGTAAGGCATTGCTCTGTCCCAAGCTTCCAAATTGCTTGTACTAGGCTGGGAGTTGAGGGACATGGTAACTGAGCAGATAAATGGGGGTAGGAGGGACTTCCTGCCTCTACTCACAGCCTCAGATCAGGACCTCACTGGGACAACTTGGGTCACAGACCCAGCAGCACATCCTGCAGAGATACTGTCCCTACCACAGCAGTTGCAGGAAGTGGACCCAGGAGACCCTGGGCTGAAAGGGACTGAGGCCAACTTGTGTTCTTAGCAGCCCCATGGTCCACTAACTGATATTCCCGTACGGCAGAGCTGTTCAGGTTTATTTCCCAAAGGGTTAGGGCCAGTTGCCTAGTTCGCTCCAAATTCTAGGAAGCTTCCAGGTCCAGGACAGCATACGCTTCCCCCTTTCCCCTTGTCGCTCAGGCACACTTTCCTAGGGCATCCTACCAAGACTTCCAGGGAAATCACCTGCTGCCAGGGGCCTGCCCCAGACCTTGCCTCTCAAGTCTCCTGCACACACATACATGCACACACACACACACACACACACACACACACACCCCTCTCCGGGCTGCCCACATTCATACACACATATACTCCCAGCAAAGTTAAGTCCCAGGGCCCAGGTAGCCCCAGCGTCCTCACCTTTGGAGAAAAGGGCGGCCAGGCTGATGAGCACTGGAGACCAGAGGTGCCACAGCGTCCCCATCTCAGACGGGCACATCCTGGAGACTAGGAGCGCGGGTCCTCTGCTCTTCCGTGGTGTCGTCTGGCTGAAGGAGGGATGTCGCCAGGTCCCCGGAGAACAGAAGCTGAGCTAGATGGCCAAGACACATCTGGCTAGGGACCCCGGGTCGTCCTCAGTCGAGTCCCCAAAGGTCCATAGGCAGGCCTCTTAGGCTCCGGGGTCCCGCAGCTCAGGCCGAGTTCACCTCGGTGCTTCGACCGCGCTGAGAACTGGCTCGTAAATTGAATTTCACTCCACGAGGGGGGTCTCGGATGCCTTGTCCCCAAGAACGGAGAGCGCTCCTGGGGCTCCCGCTGGGCGGCTGGAGTGGACTAGCGAGCGCGGGCGGCGGTGGGGCTGCGAGGCTGCGGAGCCCGGGGCGCGGGGGTCCCCGGGCGGGTAGCCAGGCGGGCTTGGGGACCCGGGGCTTGCAGCCTCGCCGCCCCCATCCCGCGCCACAGGGCTCCCGCGCGCGCGTTCCGCCGCCCAAAGTTTGCAGGGCGCTGCGGCTCCACCCCAGCCCGGGCGGGCTCCCCACGCGCACCCGGCGCACGGCCGGCTCCGGAGACGCGCGGCGCACGGGGCGGAGGGCGAGCAGCGCGCGGACGAGGAGGCGCGGGCCCGGGGCGGCTGCATCCGAGCGCACCCAGAGCAGCGTGCCCGGGCGGACTGGGGATGTTGCTTCCTAATTTCTCCTCCCCCCCCCTTCTCTCTATCTCTGTCTCTCTCTCTCTTTAAGCCCCACCCTTCTGGAGTGACAGCTGTGAGCCCCAATCCGCAAAGTAGGTCCCACCTTCCTGGTTGCGGGGCTCCCAGCCTCCGTGTCGCCCTCTCTATGTGCGCGAATGGGAAGGGAATGCTCAGAGGAGGAAATGGACACCCCGCCCACTCCCGGGAGCCAACATGGGCACCAGCATGAACCTCCATGCTCACAACAGGTGTCGAAAAGCCATATGCCCCTGCCTTCTCAAAGAGTCGGGGTGCAGGCGATCCTCAGGCAAGGACAGCTCAGGACCCTAACATAAGCGGAAGTCTCCCCAGTGATCTCTTGAATGTGACTCTGGAATCCCAGAATGATCCCCAAATTCCTGTCCCTGGAAGATTTCCACCCTGGCTCCCTCTGACCTTTGGGCATCACGGAATTGATCAGTTAGGATAAGATGTTGCATTGAGAAAGTAATAGGCATGGCTCTCCACTCGTGCCTTCCGGGGTCTCTAAGGCAAACTCACACCAAGATATCTAATTCCCATGCTAGGATTCTGAGCCCTTGCCCACCTCCCCGCTCGCTCTGCTGATCCTGAAAACAAACATTCTATGAGGATTCAGAGAGGAAGCCCAGCCTCATTCCAACAGGTGAATCCACTACTGTGGGTGAAAAACGAATTGCATTGATTCTCTTGCTGCTGTGACAAAAGCAATTCACGGGAGAAGAGCCTGTTCCGGCTCCAGTTGATAATACAGGTTGTACTCTCAAATACAGGTAGGGAAGGCATGTGAGTTGGTTAGGACTTTTTGTCCACTTGACATAGAAAACGTTTCCATCAGAATGGCCCATAGGCAAGCCCGTGGGTATTTTCTTGATTAATGATTGTTGTGGGAGGGCCCACTACGGGCAGTGCCGGTCCTGGGGCAGGTACGGAGAGCAAGCAGCACCCCTCCAGGAGTCCGGTGTCAGTTTCTGCCTTCGGGTTCCTGCCCTGACTTCTCTCCATGATGGATTTAAACTGTAAAATGAAGCAAACCCTTTCCTCCTAGGCTGCCTTTGATATGCGTTTTATCAAGGCAACAGAAGCCAAACCAGGACAGTGCATGCGCAGCAGTAGGGGCACGAGTCAGCTGGTCGCCTGGCATCAGTGGTCAGGAAACAGGGAGAGATGGATGCTGGCGCCCAGATCACTTTCTCCTTTGTATTCCAACAAGGGCCCCAGCCCATCCCTGGTAACACCCACATTCAGTTAAAACTTTGTGGCAACACCCATATGTGTGTCTCCATGGTGACTCTAAACCTGTGACAAGATTAACAATCACAGGACTCAGAATTGGGCTAAAGGGACAGTCCATGTCAGGGAGCTACAAAAAAAAAAAAAAGAAAGAAAAGAAAGAAAGAAAGAAGGAAAGAAAGAAAGAAGAAAAAAAAAGAAAGCCCCTGGCTTTAAGTGTTTTCAGTTTTCTGACTTCCAGGGACGATCAGAGGGATGCTGAGGCTGTTCTGTCAAAGTCTGTGTATCCCTGGCATGCCAGCTTCCCCTTTGTTCTCTGTGTCTTAATTTTTGTCTTTCTGGTGTTCTTTTGTTTAGCTCTTAAGTTCTCTCTCTGTGTCTCTCTGCCTCTCTGTCTGTCTGTCTGCCTCTGTGTGTGTGTGTGTGTGTGTGTGTGTGTTCTAAACTTTGCAGAGTTGATGATACAAACCTACCCCAAGCCTCTGACATGAGACATCTCCAGGCTTGGCTGGAAAGCCAGTTGAAATGGCTGCTGTGCCCATCCCTGAAGTTGATGAGGTGGAGGCAGGTGGCACTCTGGGCTGCCTTACTGACAAATTCCGGGCTACATCGAGGCCCCTGTGATAGAATGCACACTGAGAGTCATCAGTCTTTATCTTTTCTTTCTTTCCCTGACCAATGGGGAAAATTGAGGCTTCATCCCTGCCACACATCTCTTTGAGTGAGTGACCCACCTCATGTGTAACCAAGCTCCCCTCTTATTCCTCAGTGGCAGACCCAGTTGTATGTATTCAAATATTTTTTTAAAAGATTTACTTATTCTATGTTATGTATGTGAGTGGTTTGCCAGTATGTATGTATCATGTGTGTACAGCACCCACAGAGACCAGGTGAATTCAAATCCTCTGCAGCTGGAGTTACAGACAATGAGCCACCATGTGGGTGCTGGGAATCGAACTCAGGTCCTCTGCTAGAGCAGTCGGTGCTCTTAACCCCTGAGACATCTCTCCAGACCCCCAAGTCTATTTTCTTTTTGTTTTTTTGAGACAGGTTTTCTCTGTATAGCTCTGGCTGTCCTGGAACTTGCTCTGTAGAGCAGGCTGGCCTGAAACTCAGAGATTTGCCATACTCCTGCCCCCAAGTGCTGGGATTAAAGGCATGTGCCACCACTGCTTGGCCCCAAGTCTATTTTTAAGACAATCCTTGAGTTCATTTCCTAGAAGTTAATGGTTCCTATTTTTTTATTAAAAAATTACTTTACTTTTTTTCTAAATCATTTTTCCCCTGAATTGTAAGCAGCAGGTGATTCTTTTAGGTATATCCCTGTACGGGCTTCTCTATCTATGTCCTTAAGATAAAAAGCTTCTAAATGCTGCCTGGAATTTCTTCATTATATTACATAGTTATCTGGACAAATCATTTCTCTATTCCAACTGTGCAAACATCATGAGTGACTAAAATAAGAGGTAAGAACGACTCCCCCTCCAACTCTCTTTGTGGAGCTATTGGGAGGTGTGTGACCACTCCTCTGTAAGCAATTAGCACAGCTAATGGTGGGAGAGCCATCCCTTAGGAAGACCTGCAGGCATTCATGGCAGCCTGCCAGGCCCTCGGCTGCAGCCCGGTGCCAGAGGGACCCTTCCTATCAGATCCCCCTGCCCTGTTACTCTCAAATCAACTGTCACAAGTGTGCTTTCCTCCAAGAATATGTGTGTCATCTGCAAGGCTATAAATCAAATTCTACCGATGACTAAATAGCACTGTTCATGCTGAATGTGAGGAGCTTCACACAAGGCAGGCTTGCCGGGTTTACAGAAAGACAACATTCTCCGGTCAGTTTAAAGGAATACCAGCTATGTTCCAGAGCTGGTAAAGATTGCAAGGAGGCTGGATTCACACGCCCCCTGGTGAACGGCCACTGTTGAACATCCTTGTGCCATTTTGAGCATGAAGACACTACAGACACTAGATACCACGATGTGTCAGGCTGAATCATACTCCCTCCATCCTTCCGATGACACAGGAGAAACTCAGGTGAGCATCACAGTGAAGCATCCTTTGGGCAATACCAGTGTATTCATTTCAAAGCAGCATAGCTCAGTGATAACTGTTGTGCTTGCCTAGCATGGACGAGGGTTCGGTCCACAGCAGGAGTGGGTGAAGTAAAATGCAGAGGGCTTGCCTTGCCGTGCAGAGTGCAGTATCTAGCTGGAACTTACTCTCAGTTTTTACCTTACTGATATTTTTGCTTTCACATACACTCCTTCCTTCAACTGATGGAAATTGAGTTCCATCAGTTTCAGAAGCATGGGAAATTCTAAATTGTAACCGGCACGAGGAGCCCCGGAAAGGGCAGCCATACGCCACTGACCTTCCTTTTTCTTTCTGACTTCCCAGACTTCATGACGTGGTCATGAAATCAGTCGGAGACAGATCAACCCATGGCCTCTTTCGTGAGCAGAGACCGCAGTCAGGAGGCACACTGCCCTCCAGAGAGAGTGCCTATGAAGGTGGGAGTAGGTCCTGCCCCTCTGTCGCTCAGTCCTTCCCTGCACTTAGGCTAGCAGGTGACGCATTGGCTGTGAGCTCAGGTGCCACAGATCTCCACTAAGTCACCTGTAGCTCTCTACGGAAACTGTTGAAGCAGCCCTGGCTGTTGTAGGCTGGTGGCGCCCCCTTGAGCCTGCAGTCAAGCACAGATACCAGAGATGTAAAGCCTTCTGCCATCTGCAAGGGAATTTTGCAGGAAACCAGTTGTGCTGAGGCCCCACAATCCTCTATTCTTCCCAGTGCCGGTGCTCCAGTATACACTGTATTGGGCTCTCCTTCTGTACTTCTCCCACTTACATCCTCCCAGGGCTCCGGGATGTCTGAAATTTCTCACATGGCCCCGAAATGAGCATAGCACCGGCCTCCATTCCCCATCGGATACTGACTCCCAGATCAGAGCAAGAAGTCAGAGCCCGAGCAGTCTCCCGAGCTCATGTAAAGGGCTGCCCGTAACAACCCTGCTTCCTGCCATTGAAGGCCTGACTGACTGACAGGACAAAGATTCTCTCCTCTTGGGTGGTTGGCATGGCAAGACTGCTGTCAAAAATCCACCATTTGTCCCTAGGTCTGTGACACAAACTGTCTTATGTCCCCTTGAAACTGGCTTCTACCGGCTAGAGAGCCATGCTACATCACGGCCCTCCTAAGGTGACATGTGGCTAGGCCCCAAAGCCTGCAGGTGGGAGGTTGTATGTGGCTTTCGTATGGAGCTCAGGCCACTTCAGGGTGACCCTCCAGCCTTGCTGCTCTTCCCAAGGTTTCCAGCTGAATGCAGGGAGACCACCCGGACTTTTTATCTTATCACAAAGTCTGTGTTTGCTTGGCACATGTGTCGACCAATAAG